GAACTGAACTAGAACTGAACTAGAACTGAACTAGAACTGAACTAGAACTAAATTAGAACTGTGTTAGGGCTGTACAAGATCTGTGTTTTTTTAAATCCCAGTGGTAGGTTGTTATAGAGCTAATTATTTAGAAAATATTATGGTGTAGAGTATTATGTAGTCGTTCATGACCGACCATAATTTCTTATTAGTTAAACAAAATTGAGTTGTTTCCTTTTTTTCTGAAATTAAAATATTATGTACAATTTAGTCAGTTCATTATTGAGAATTTAGTTTAACATAATTTACTTTTAAAGTGTTTCTATACAAATCATTTAACAAATATTTTATAAGATGATTGTTAAATACAGATTTATTTACTTTTCACATTTTAATAACAAGTTAAAGTATTTTATACAAAAACTTTGTATTTATTTTTCTTACATTGCATTATACATATCATAATTATATTATTTATTTAGTTAGTAAACTAGTGTTAACCAATTTTAAAATTTGTCACTTTTATGTTAAACCAAATGTACATTATTTATTTATGAAATTTTACATGTTTTCTTAAGGATTTTATTTGTTTAAATATAACAAAATTAAGGGATTTTTTTTCACTTTAAATAAATGGTTCTTAGTTAAGAATAAATAAATGTGTTCTTAATAAAATGGAATATGTTGATATGTTTATTGTTAAATTTATTTGTTTTGCATTTTACATAATTTATTTATGTTTTGATATTTATTTTGTATACATTTTGAACAACCATTGAAATATTTATTTGTGTGTTTGTTTGTTTATTTTGAGCAAATTTATATTTATTTATATTTGTATGATATGAAACCAAAATTATTCGGTGGGGTGGGTTTTGTTGGTAATTAACAAAAGAAAAAGGGGTTAGTTTTAATTTAGAGTTGAATTAAGGTTAATATTTACTATATACTAAATTATATAATAAACAAAAATAATACGTAAATTTATTATAATTTTTTTTAATAAATGAAACTTTTTTACAAATTTTCAATACCTAGACGTATGATTTATTTTCTTTAAATAATTATCATTCATACGCAATGAAGTATATGTATTGTGGGAAGAAACTTTTAGGAGTTATGCCAAAAAATTTAAAATTTCATTACAACAAAAACACATTTGCACAAAGTGAGCCAGACTAATATACATACATACTTTGAAAAATATTGTATTTTCTGTTTTAAAAAGCATAGTTTTAGGAATTGCAGTATTAATATAATAACATTAACAATACACGACGAGTTAGACGAATTGGATTTTGAGGAGGGATTTATATAAAAACTATTTTTGCTTAATTTTAACGCAATATTAATGGTTATAAGTTAATTATGGGCGTTTAAATGATTTTCTAAAGGCGAGTTTGTATGGAGGCCAAGTGTCATTTGCGCTTATATGAAACTACTTGTGTTGATAATTGATTATGAGGTAAAAAGCTTAAATCGGACTTGTATCGGTTGTATGGGGGCTAGGACCAATTTCAAACGTTTTCAATATTTATCGTCCTTAGGCACGTCTATGTTCAAATTTCAAAATTAAGGCCTTTATAGTGTGCAAATTTGCGATAATGTGAGCCTGTAGGGTATTACATGACCTAAATATTCACGGCAACATAGGAATCTTTGTCGATAGTCAAGCAGTACTTCTCTCACTAAACTCTTATACTACTACTTCCCAATTAGTTAGACAGTGCAAGAAGGATCTGTCAATGCAGGGTCGCCTGTCTGACATTACCCTTGTTTGGGTCCCTGCGCATAGGGACAACTACGGTAATGAACAGGCAGATGAGCTTGCCAGAACGGGATCTGCTCTTGAAATTTCCGACGCCGTTTCGGTAGCAACTGAGCAATATCCTCAGATTCTTTCTTCAAAAAGCTGAAAATAGGTGGTATAACCTAGACACATGTAAATGGGCCAAGTTATTGTGGCCCTCCTTTAATGAGAAACGCACAAGACACCTTATAAACCGAAGTAGGTGGGACATATCGAGGCTGATAGCAGTAATAACAGGACACTGGGTAATAGGCAGGCACGCAAGTCGGCTTGGTCTCCCTTACAATGATCATTGTCGCAGTTGCAAAGACAGGGAAAAGAAAGAAACGGTCTTCCATACCTTCTGCGAATACCCTGGCCGTAAAGAGAAACCGCTTCCTTGGCAATCACTTCATATCTGAGTTTAGGCTTAATGATATCCTCAGATTTCGCACAGCTACGGGCTGGATCTAATACTACAAATACAACATCTGAGGAGTGGAGTGGTCCGGTCAAAACAGAGTATCTTCGATTCTACTTGACAGTTCACGGGTAATGAACTACCACGTAAACTAACCAACCATATTGTGCAAAAGGTTTACATGGGCAGCCAGCCGGGCAGACGGACGGACATGTTTTGATCGACTCCCCACTATGTTAGTGTAGGATATAAACACGATTAGGCCTAAATGAGGCTAAATTTTATACAACATTATCTATTGTAGCAGAGAGGGCAAAACGTATTTGGTGTATAGTCATAAATGGGAAACCCGTCAGATGGCAGTTGCAAAATTTTGGTAAGCAAATTTTAAAATGTTAAGGAAATCTCCATGTGACTTATGGACAATAAAGAAAGGAATAAAATAGTAAAGAAATACTACTATGTTCTAATGTGATTCTTCTTAAATCTGTCCATACTTATTAAGTTCCCATAAAAAACATTATATATAGCAGAGGCGATTATGTTTTGTCCGCCTGTCTGTCTGTCTGTCTGTCTGTCTGTCTGTCTGTCTGTCTGTCTTTCTGTCTGTCTGTATGTTTGTTGAAATCAATTTTCTAAAGATATCTTCGGGATCCAAATCTTCAATCAATCTGACAGACATGGTTTCGAGAAAATGGCAGTTTAATATCAGCAAAATTTAAAAAAAACATTTTAGAAGTCTATATAGCCTTTAATTAATAAAATATTAAAACAAGTAAGAATGTAATGTCGGGCATGGCCGATCATATGATAACCTACACCAGTGAGTATGTTAAAAATTTGGATTTTTACGCTGCCAATAAAGCATTCTACCTTAATTCCAAAATATTTTAACAATTTGTTACCAAAAAAGTGATTTTCTGAATGAGGGGTTATATGGGGGCAAAGGTAAATATGGTCCCATCTGTAAAAATGTTGGTATAGCGATTAACAATGACATTAAAGTTATGTATTTATGCTGATACTAGTGTTTAAAAGTGAATTTATTTCTTCAAGTCGTTTTCTGAAGGAGACTTGGTAGGGGGGCTAGGATCAAATGAGTCCCGATCATTACGAAAATCGTCAGTATCATTAAAACTTATATGACACTGAGATTTGCACAATGTTGTAGAGATTCTACAATGTTTAACAGAGTTATAAGCTCAAAAGCCTTTTTTGGGCGCTACGGTTGTATGGGAGCTAGGCGAAATAATGGACCGATTTCAACCGTTTTCAATAGGCTTCGTAGAGAGAGAGAGTATGTGCCAAATTTCATTAAATTATTTTGAAAATTGCGACCTATAGCGTGCGCACAAAGTTTACATGGACACACAGACAGATGGACATACAGACAGACGGACATACGGATAGACAAACGGACAGACGGACAGACAGACAGACAGACAGACAGACAGACAGACAGACAGACAGACGACAGACAGACAGACAGACAGACAGACAGACAGACAGACAGACAGACAGACAGACAGACAGACAGACAGACAGACAGACAGACAGACAGACATACATACAGACAGACAGACAGACAGACAGACATACGGATAGACAAACGGACAGACAGACAGATAGGCATACGGACAGACAGACGGATAGGCATACGGACAGACAGACGGACGGACAGACTAACATAGCTTAATCGACTTAATCGATTCTGAGCCAGTTGGTATACATTAAGGTGGTTGTGGGACCAATATTTTGGGTGTTACAAACTATAGCGGTGTAGGTTATAAAAAGTTTCATTTATTTTTGTTACTCACTGTACCTTAAGAAAACATTTAAATGGAGAGCAGTTCTTGATAGATTGTTTTTACTAAATTAACTAGATTTTTCTTCTTGTGGATAAATGTAGCTTATCAATACAGCTTTTTGTTTATTTAAATTTCTTAATCAGATTTTTTTATTTGCATTTATTAATAATTTTAATGATTTCTTTTTTTGAAAGATATTATAATTAATAATATTACAACTGCAAGTTTTTCTTGTTTCTGTTTTTGTTTTATAAATAAATTCGAACAAATGGTAAATGTTAAATAATTATTATGCTTAAACATCAGTGTTTTATTGTTTATAAACAATTTATTTAATATTAAATGTAATTTCAGTGTGTTTTTGTTTTATTTTCAATTAATAATAATAATAATTAACTTAATAATATTTACAAAAGAGGCAACAAAAGAAAAATTAATAAATTTTTCTTTGTTACATTAACAACATTTAAGTAAAAACATACAAATTACAAATAATTTAATTACAATTTTAAATTTATGTTTACTTTATTAAATATTCAAATTTAAAGACCAATTATTAATTATATATTTTATTATTATTATTATTATTTCTCTGTTTTAAAACTTTAGTTTTTTATATAAATAATATAAATTTAATTTTTTGTTTTATTATAAATATTTGATTTTTGTTTCTTAATGGAATTTAACTATAAAATATACATTATTTTTCATTTTATTTAAAAAAAATTATTAATAAACATATATAAAATTAATAACTTATTTAGTTGATATACAGTAATTTAAAAGAAAACAATTATTTTTTTTTAATTTAAAATAGTTGTTTTTCTGCTTTAACTTTTATAAATTAATGATAGTTTCTTTAATGTTTTATTTGTATAGAATATATAATTTTTTAATTTAATATTAAATACATTTATTTTTAATAATAAACAAAATTTACAAATTTCTTTTTTTATTTATAAACTTATTTATAAACATATTTATAATTTTATTTATTGTTTGTTATTATTTCTATTAATTATTGTTTAAAGATAAATTATAAAAAAATGTTAAAAATTCATTTTTATAAATTAAAATTTGTTCAAAAAATTTCATTTTAAACCGTTTGTTTCTTTATTTTACAAAATATATATTTCAGGGCTTGTGGGCGGGGTTATATTTGTTTGAGCTTTTAAAAGGGGAAATATACCAAAAACATGTAATCCCTTTCCTAAAATAATAATATTACCTGAAAGCTTTTATAACACCAGCGTAGATATATATAATTCTTTAAAAATGTTTATCAACAAAAAGCTTTATTTGTTCACCAAATAAATAAACTTTATTAGGATACAGAAAAATGTTCTTAAGTGAAAAAGCTTTTGAAGAAATTATTAAAAATAGTTTACACTTTAAAGCTTTACTTTTTTTCCAAATGAATAAACTTTATTATAAAACAGAAACCTCTTCTCAAGTGAAAAAGCTTTTGATGAACTCATGTATAGATTATAAACTTTTTTAAACACCTCAAATTTGTTCCCCTATTAAAAGGCTTTTGAATAAAAAATTTGCATATGAACTTTAATTCAATAAAGCTTTTATAAACTTACATTACCCTAAAGAATGAAAGCTTTTTCAAGCAAAAGAATTTTTGAATATTTCCTCAAAAAAGCTTTAGTAAATAAATGAGCTTTTCTTTAAATGCTTCTCATATAAAAAAGCTTTTAAAGAAAATATTTTTACAAACTATTTTTAAACATACTTATTTTTCAATAAATGAAGTAATCAAAAGCTTTTGAGGAAAAGAAAGCTTTTTAATATCAAAGTTTTAAAATTTTTTTATTGAAAATAATTTTTTTTTAAATACAGAAAACTTTTCCAAATGAAAAAAGCTTTTGAAGAAGGCAAATGGAAATTGTTTATCAAAAAAACGTATGCTACAAAAAGCTTTAAAAATACTTAACACTTTAAAACTTTAGTTTTTTTTTTTGTCAAATTAATAAACTTTTTTAAATCTCAGAACTTAAATATACAAACTTTTTCTGAATAAAAGCTTTTGAAGAAAGTCATTAGCAATTGTTATCAAAAAAGCTTTTTTAAACCATTATCTCTCTCAATAAAGGACGTTTTAAACTTTAATAAGACTTTAATAAGACTTCTAAAGTTTTTACCAAAAAAGCTTTTTCTGCAAAAAAAAAGCTTTTGTAAACAACAGTATCTCTTCCCAACAAAGTAAGATTTTTAAACTAAAAGAAGTTTTTAAAGATAATACTTAAAGTGAATTAGTTTAAACAAAAAAGCATTTCAATCGAAAGCTTTTACCACAAATCTTTTCAAAAATGGAAAAGATATGCTTTTACCAAAAAAGCTTTAAAAAAATTTTAAAGTTACACACTTTCCTTAACAAAAATAACTTATTTTAACACATCGTTTATTGTAATCAAAAAGCTTTTTTCGTAAAAAAATTTTAAAGATAGTAAAATTTTTTACGAGCTTTTTAACAAAAAAAAGCGTTAGCCTTCAATCAACATTTTTTTTCAAAATAACAGAAAATTATATAAATCAAAATAAAGCTTTTTAAGCAATAGTAATATTATTCATAGAAATAAGCTTTTATCATTATAACACAATTTTCAAATACTCTCTAAACACTAAGGTATACTTCCCCTTAAAAACTTATCATCAATATGTGTAAAATTTTTCAAAAATAAAAAATTCATGATTTGAAACCATGGTTTACTATTATTTTTACTTTAAACTAATAAAAAATCTTGTTTGTTCTAATAAAAAACCAACTAATAAAATTACTTTAAAAGGAAATCTTAGTTTGGCACATATTTAATTTTTCATCAAATCTTTAGATAAATTTCTTATGGAACCTTGAAATACAAAATAATTATTATTTAAATGTTTATTAAAATTATTGTGTTTCTATTATTGTTATTATGCTGAAAAAATTAATTTCCATTAAAAATCGATAACAAATGCATTACTCCTGTTGCTATGTTAAAAAAACAAAAACCGTTAACAACATACCAAACAAACTTAATTGTTTAAATAATTAATATTTCTCTGCTATGTGTGTGTTTCTGTCTGTCTGTCTGTCTGTCTGTCTGTATGAATGTTAATTATTGTTTTTCCAACGTTTGAGTAAAACCCGCCAACGATTTTTACGCTTTCGGCTTCAAATTTGCCATATCAGCAGATGATTCGTGCTGTCTTCGCGACCGGCAATTTCACTCAATGAATTGGCACCCGAATTACGGAAATCCTCATAACCATCACCACCCGATATAATGAGTATATTAGCAGCACTACCACCAGCATTGGCTTGATTTGTTTGTGCATTATCCTTTTGGGGTTTGGGCGATTTCGAACCAGCCGAAGAGGAGGAGTCGGCTTCTGTTTTACAACTTGAAGAACTTTCTGTGCTGGAATTGGTGGTAGAGGTACCTGAAGTTTCTACAAATGTTAGGAATCGTACATGTCCGGTGTGTCCATGGGGTATACCAGTGGGTACAACATTAGTGGTTCCCTTATCGTAACCTTGAGCTGGTATGGTGAGTAATACTCCAGCACTGGTGCCAATCCAGATGAGGTCACGGCAAGAGAGTAGGGAGGTGACCCTTAAGCAAGCAGCCTTATGTTGACGTATAATTTCATCACAATTTGAAAGCATTTTATTCACAGCCTGTGCCAAATTAACTTCAGTGATTAATTGATGGCTAGAAGAAGTAATAAGGATAGAAAACGAATTATAAACTACGTTTAACCAAAAAGTCATCAATTCCCTAAAATCTTATACTCACGTATTGGAATGAAAACATTTAATATGAGCTGAATTTTGTATTGATATCCATACATAATTATTGGAAACACACATGTTTGTTATGGGCTTGGAATCCGAGGAAATTTGTATTTGACTTATAACCTAAAACGAAAGTTTAAAGCAAAATTAAAAAATAATCCAACTAAATAATTTTAAAAATCATCTTACCGCCAATGTGTCTATATCCAAAACTTTAATAATGCCCTGTATCGAACACCACAATCTGCCGTGAACATTGAGCAATTTGGTAACGGGACTTGTAACGGTACCGATCGATAAACAATGCGATGAAGTGGTATTCCAGGCTATGCCATCGCGTAAATATACACAAATATCACCATTGGCTAAAGCCACAAATACACGATTGTCCAGGTACCTTAGAAAGGGAGAAAATAAATAATATATTTTTATTATTTCGAGAAATAATTTTTTGGACTTACAGTATGGAATAGACTGCCGAATGATGTTCAATTTTAATACGATTCTTTTTGATGCGTATATTATCGGTACTGTTGTAGACATGTATACAACCGTCTTCAGTACCAATCCACATGGTTGATTGATTGCCATCACTTTCTTCGGGATTTGAGTCCTGGAAATTACAATAATATGAAATTTAATTAGATTAAGGTATGTGGTCTAGCTTTCGAAATAATTCTAAAAATACTACAAATAGAACTGAACGAGAACTGAACTGAACTAGAACTGAACTAGAACTGAACTAGAACTGAACTAAAACTGAACTAGAACTGCACTAGAACTGAACTAGAACTGAACTAGAACTGAACTAGAACTGAACTAGAACTGAACTAGAACTGAACTAGAACTGAACTAGAACTGAACTAGAACTGAACTAGAACTGAACTAGAACTGAACTAGAACTGAACTAGAACTCAACTAGAACTGAACTAGAACTGAACTAGAACTGAACTAGAACTGAACTAGAACTGAACTAGAACTGAACTAGAACTGAACTAGAACTGAACTAGAACTGAACTAGAACTGAACTAGAACTGAACTAGAACTGAACTAGAACTGAACTAGAACTGAACTAGAACTGAACTAGAACTGAACTAGAACTAACCTAGAACTGAACTAGAACTGAACTAGAACTGAACTAGAACTGAACTAGAACTGAACTAGAACTGAACTAGAACTGAACTAGAACTGAACTAGAACTGAACTAGAACTGAACTAGAACTGAACTAGAACTGAACTAGAACTGAACTAGAACTGAACTAGAACTGAACTAGAACTGAACTAGAACTGAACTAAACTGAACTAGAACTGAACTAGAACTGAACTAGAACTGAACTAGAACTGAACTAGAACTGAACTAGAACTGAACTAGAACTGAACTAGAACTGAACTAGAACTGAACTAGAACTGAACTAGAACTGAACTAGAACTGAACTAGAACTGAACTAGAACTGAACTAGAACTGAACTAGAACTGAACTAGAACTGAACTAGAACTGAACTAGAACTGAACTAGAACTGAACTAGAACTGAACTAGAACTGAACTAGAACTGAACTTAAACTGAACTAGAACTAAACTAGAACTGAACTAGACTAGAACTGAACTAGAACTGAACTAGAACTGAACTAGAACTGAACTAGAACTGAACTAGAACTGAACTAGAACTGAACTAGAACTGAACTAGAACTGAACTAGAACTGAACTAGAACTGAACTAGAACTGAACTAGAACTGAACTAGAACTGAACTAGAACTGAACTAGAACTGAACTAGAACTGAACTAGAACTGAACTAGAACTGAACTAGAACTGAACTAGAACTGAACTAGAACTGAACTAGAACTGAACTAGAACTGAACTAGAACTGAACTAGAACTGAACTAGAACTGAACTAGAACTGAACTAGAACTGAACTAGAACTGAACTAGAACTGAACTAGAACTGAACTAGAACTGAACTAGAACTGAACTAGAACTGAACTAGAACTGAACTAGAACTGAACTAGAACTGAACTAGAACTGAACTAGAACTGAACTAGAACTGAACTAGAACTGAACTAGAACTGAACTAGAACTGAACTAGAACTGAACTAGAACTGAACTAAACTAGAACTAGAAACTAGACTGAACTAGAACTGAACTAGAACTGAACTAGAACTGAACTAGAACTGAACTAGAACTGAACTACTGAACTAGAACTGACTAAAGAACAATATGCATATAGTTCAGACCACAGTCCAGCCTTTGGACAATCTATAGCCCAGATCATATACAGTGTATAGTTTAAAGCATAGACCAATCCACAGTCCAAAAAATAGAAATATGTATCACAAACTACAGACAAATCCATAGTCCCATACTATATACAAATATAAAGTCCTTACTATAGACCAAGTTGAAGTCAATAAACTAACCTAAACATACATATGTGTCTATACCCCATATCAGTTTGACCCTATATAAAACATTTTCATAAAATCTTACCTGATGACCATGATATAAAGTACCACTACTACCAACAATGCCGTCGAGGCCGTTGACGTTGAGTCCGGTAGTGTGTGTTGGAAGGTGCAGGACTGGGTACTCGTTCACATGGCGCCACAATAGAACCAGCCGACATAGATGCGCCACTACCGCCACCCAAAATAGCAGCTGCAGCATTGGGATCAGCCTCTTCATCACTTGAACTTAAATTTAAATCTAATTGAATATCACTACTATTGCCAGCCACAGCTGTTGCTCCCGCTGCCAAATCGGCAGCCGCTGATGCAGCTTTAGTTTGTGTCTTATCACTTCGTTTCTTTTCGGGTGTACCAATGGCCGAGTTGGGTGTGGAATAGTTGGGTGAAATGCTCTTACGATAATCTAACAACTGTTGAGTATAACTATTGGGGGGTAGGGAGGAACGCTGCTGCTGTTGTCCCGATGACAATGATGCAGAGTGTTCTTCATTGGAGGAGTTGGATTTGATGGAAGCTTTATGAGCATTATAAGCAGGTACAGAAGCAACGCAGAGAATACGAGCATTACAAACACCATTACAACTGGTCACATTCGGTTCGGGATGTAGAGACATTATACACACTTGGCCCACATAGCCGTCACTGTTGCAAACCCAAACATCACGTTTTTCACTTAAAGTGGCGGCGGCACAGGTGAATTGGAGACCAGCTCTAGTTTTACGTATGGGTATAGAGGTTAGAAATTCAGGTATGGGATGTTTTTCTAAAGTGGCGGCTGTAATATAAATATATCAATTAAAAATTTGACTGGAAAAAATATATTCATAATGAAAAATTTACCTAATTTTTGTTTGGCTTCGTTAAATGTTTCCTCCCATTGGGTTCTCTTTTCAGACTTACTAAATACTATGCATAATTTCTGAGTACCATTTCTAAAAATGAAGGAATTCAACATATATTATTACAAGAATTTTGTTGCTAACAAAATTTATGACTTACGGTGAATTTACACCTAATTCGAGCATATTCAATTGAGCATCATTCGTTTGTCTCTCTGACAATTGGCGCTGTACATCACGATGCAATTCTCTGATAACATCTTCCAAATACTGATGAGGACATTTAAGAGTGGCGGTTATGTCGGTGATCTGTTGCAATTTATTGCAATCATCAGCCAAATTTTCAATTTCAGTCATTATACGTTTAACATTTTCATCTTTAGCTGGGAGAAGAAAAATTTATTAAAAAATCTGTTCCTTTGATGTTATGAAGAAACTTACTCTTAACAATTTCCAAACAATCTAGAGAAATTTTGGTTAAGAATTTATATTTGTTTGTATCCAATGTTGAGGCCACTGTACCGGGGCAAATGGTGCTTTAATAAATTGAAATTTAAATTTTTTTTAAATTTTCTCAAATTGCTTAACTATTATACTTACGTATTAGGTTTTCGTATGGTGCCGCTACGTTTCTTAATGCTCGTCAACACCAATAGATCGTTGAAGAGAAAGAAACCTCTTTCTTTGCGTGCGCCCTGGCCCGAAGGCATTGTTACCAAATCGAATAGTAAAAATTGTCGATCTGGTGCTATGAGATCTGTTATGCCTTCGATCACTCCCTCCAACTCTCTGAGTGTTGCCTCTCTCTGACCATTTTCGAGTATTTCACGCTCTTTGCAATTGATGTGCACTAGTATGTCGTGGACAAGCTTTAAGACGTCTTGCAGGTGCTTTTGATCGGGATGATCGTGATCGGTGTGTTTAATAAGTCTTTGAAATAGTAACTCGTAACTGAAAGAGAGAGAAACGGAAGAAGTTTTTTAGAGAAACATATTTGAAAAAACATTTATTTTTTTCAGAATTGTGATCATATCACTATTATTCATGAACCGATTTCTTAGGATATCTAAAGTTTCTAAAGATATCTAAAGTTTTCAGAAAATTTATTTTTATAAACGTAAGGATAGACGGATATAGAAAAATAGACTTTCGAAATACATTTAAAGTTATGGGATTTTGAATTGAAATTTTGAAAATTATCGATAGCATGCCTTAGAAAATTATCCAATATTAAGATCCTGAAGATATCTGGGGTGTTCAGGAACTTCATTTCAACAAAAATACGGAGAGACGAACATGATTATATAGATTTTGCTATTTTTAAAAACCTTCAATATATAGAATCCGAAATATATTCATAATTTTAAGTAGCATCCATGGATTCAAAAAATATCTGAGGTCCTCAGGAACATCATTTCAACAAACACATGGACAGACGGACAAAGCTAACTAGACTTCATACTTACTTTGGAAACTTTTGTACTGGTTTAATAAGCAAATAATCCAATGTTAACTTTCCCTTATGTTCTCGAGCGGTTGTTTCCAAGAATTTTGCAAATGCAGGTCTCTGATGTTTAGTATTGCGTATAGCATTCTTGGCACGACTACAATTATTAACAAATGAAGTGTACACTTCCAAGACTTCAAGTTTGGAGAACTAAATTAAAAATTTAATTAAAATTTAAACAAGAAATACAACTTTAAATCGAAAAAAAACTACCGTTTCCATAAAAGCATCACCGACTTTCTGTTGAGTATCCCAATTATCCAGACGATTGCGTAGTTCTGATAAAAATTTCTCATGTATTTCCAAAATATCGGGAACCATAAAGAAAATCTCATCAACAGTACGCGCTTCAATAATGCCAGCATGTTCGGGTGATTTTAAAACCTTTAAATAACGATTGACCATGGTTTGTAGAGACTCAACATACGACTGTTCATTGCGGAATATTTCTTGGACTATATGGGTGCGGGTGTCCTGTAAATAAAAGAAACAAAGAACACAAATTAACAAGTGTTTCATATACTTACACTGAAAGAAAACATTAACTAAATTGTAATCAAAGGTAAAAAAACTACGAAATCCTTTTGCCAAACTTACACCCTCATAACCACCAACATTCCATTTATTAGTAACACCTCCACCACCGCCGCCATCCAATTGTATTCGTCTCTCGGAATCATCTTCAGAATCTGAACATGTTATCGATGTCATTTTTTTCAATCTTTCACATTTATCATTTTGATATGCTCCACCTTTTGTAAATTTATTGGCCACTGTGGTTATGGCCTGATTTGCTATCACTGACATGGATTGCGATACACTAGATGAACTGGATGATGTATTAATGGGTGCTGTAGTGGTCTGTTGCAAATCGTGCAAACTTAAACGTAAATTTTCACGATTATGTGTCATTTTTAAAACTGATCAAATTAATTTGTACTTGTTTTTTTTTTTTAAATTTTTGGTGAGAAAGTTGTCAAATTTGTTTGAATGTAATTTTTTTTATTGTTGTGGTTAAATATGTCTTTTTTTCGTTTGCAGAAAATTAAGTTTAATTTTGTGGTCGAGTTAAATGCAAGTTTATGTTTGTAGTTTTGTGTGAAGTTTATAGATTAAATGATTGTTTACAATTTTATTTTGCACTTAATGTTTTTTTCGGCTATTTGTTGTCTTATTTTTAGATTTTTTAATTGTACTTTTTTCTAATACAATTAATTTAACAGCATTGTTTCTTTGATGAGCTCTTTTAGGGGAGTAAATAATTATTTTTTGAAATAATGTAGTTAACTCACTTTGGAAATAAAGGAAAGTGATAGAAGAAATAATAGGTTTAAGAGCGGAAATTGAGAAATAGTTGAAAAGCTTTTGAATACAGACAAAAATTGTTAAAAAGAATAAGGATCAAAAATGGAAGAAGTAAAACTTAATTCTAAAGAAACATGTTAAATTTTTGGTAAACTAACGCACTGTTAGAGAATTTAAAGATATTTTCTTTTCAATTGGTTTTTGGATCTCTAGACTAAAACTTAAAAAGCATGATCAGCGGTATCTGAGACAGTTTCAAAATTCGCTCATACTGCTTGTATCGGCTTTCAAGCATTCTTTGAAACAGAAACTGGGATATTGGGAGTCATAAAAAATCAATAATCAGGAATGTATTACATATTCCAGGATATATAACAGTCTATAGTCTAGTCTATAGTCAAGTCTATAGTCTAGTCTATAGTCTAGTCTATAGTCTAGTCTATAGTCTAGTCTATAGTCTAGTCTATAGTCTAGCCTATAGTCTAGTCTATAGTCTAGTCTATAGTCTAGTCTATAGTCTAGTCTATAGTCTAGTCTATAGTCTAGTCTATAGATCTAGTCTATAGTTCTAGATATTAGTCTAGTCTATAGCTCTAGTCTATAGTCTAGTCTATAGTCTATCTATAGTCTAGTAGTAGTCTATAGTCTAGTATAGTCTAGTCTATAGTTCAGTTATCGTCTTAGTCTATAGTCTAGTCTATAGTCTAGTCTATAGTTCTAGTTCTATCGTTCTAGTCTATAGTCTAAGTCTATAGTCTAGTCTATAGTCTAGTCATAGTCTGTCTATAGTCTAGTCTATAGTCTTAGTCTATAGTCTAGTCTCTAGTCTAGTCATATTAGTCTAGTCTATAGTCTAGTCATTAGCTAGTCTATAGTAGTCCTATAGTCTAGTCTTATAGTCTCAGTCTATAGTCTAAGTCTAGTAGTCTATAGTCTAGCTCTATCGTCTAGTCTATAGGTCTAGTCTATAGTCTCGTCTATAGTCTAGTCTATAGTCTAGGTCTATAGTCTAGTATAGCTAGTCTATCTATAGTCTAGTCTATAGTCTAGTCTATAGTCTAGTCTATAGTCTAGTCTATAGTCTAGTCTATAGTCTAGTCTATAGTCTAGTCTATAGTCTAGTCTATAGTCTAGTCTATAGTCTAGTCTATAGTCTAGTCTATAGTCTAGTCTAGTCTAGTCTATAGTCTAGTCTATAGTCTAGTCTATAGTCTAGTCTATAGTCTAGTCTATAGTCTAGTCTATGTCTAGTCTATAGTCTAGTCTATAGTCTAGTCTATAGTCTAGTATAGTCTAGTCTATAGTCTAGTCTATAGTCTAGTCTATAGTCTAGTCTATAGTCTAGTCTATAGTCTAGTCTATAGTCTAGTCTATAGTCTAGTCTATAGTCTAGTCTATAGTCTAGTCTATAGTCTAGTCTATAGTCTAGTCTATAGTCTAGTCTATAGTCTAGTCTATAGTCTAGTCTATAGTCTAGTCTATAGTCTAGTCTATAGTCTAGTCTATAGTCTAGTCTATAGTCTAGTCTATAGTCTAGTCTATAGTCTAGTCTATAGTCTAGTCTATAGTCTAGTCTATAGTCTAGTCTATAGTCTAGTCTATAGTCTAGTCTATAGTCCTAGTCTATAGTCTAGTCTATAGTCTAGTCTAGTCTAGCTATAGTCTAGTCTATAGTCCTAGTCTATAGTCTAGTCTAGTCTATTCTAGTCTATAGTCGATCTATAGTCAGTTATAGTCTAGTCTATAGTATAGTCTTTATTATTATAGAGATTTTTCAAAACCCAAAATCAAAGTTAAAATAAACAAAATTTCGTTTCAGAACCGTTGAATTTTTAGTCAACTAAAAATGTTATAAATATTTATATTGTTTAATTAATTAGTAATTATCATCTAATTTAAAATTTATATAGTTTTCAGTTTTTTTTTTAATTTGGTATTAATTTCCCTTAAATAAAAGAACAAACAACAACCTCAAGTTACAACCCTCACTAACCTTGTTGTAAATAAATAAATTAAAAGTAAAATAAAAAGCATCTTTATTAAAAAAATTATAAATGAATAAAATATTTAACAATATGAACTATTTTTACAAGGATCAAAAACCTTGACTTTCAAATACTAACAAAAGTACATTCAAAAACATATACAAATGCAACAAAAAAACTCTTATATGCTGATAAGAAGTAAAGACCCTGCAGTCCGTGGAAGCAGTACCTGTTTAGCTTGTTTATTGGTTTTTTTACAAGTCCTTTCAGGAGGTAGTTTATTTACTTAAAACCCAGTTTTTAAAACAATTACAAATGGACAAGTTTATCTGCGATATATTATTCTTGGTTGTTTAATAAATTACTTTCTAAGAGGTATACATATGTATATGATGAATATACATATATGTATGCATATTGTCTAAAAGGAACACATTAACACTTTGTTCAACTGCTGGGCTCACATCTACCCAAAGTATTTCTATGTATGTAATTACTGAAATTCAACTCTTGTTGTAAAATAACGACAGGAAAATAAAAGAAAACACGTAAATCACAGAAATTGTGAAGAAAAATATTGTAGTCATGTTCATGTCCATGAGAATGAAAATGTGAAATAAAATGAAAACAGTAACAGCAATAACAAAAAATGTCAAAAACAAAATAACATTGCCCTCTAAAAACAAGAAAACATCAACAACAATATTATCGTCATCCTCAGTAGCAATGTTGTCAACAACAATAACAACGACCTCTGTGGCAATGAGTAGTTGTAGTTTCACATTAAGTGGATGCATCAGCTAACAAAAACAACAATACTATACGGAAATGTATAGTAGACAATGCGAGAGCCAGATGAAAGGTTCTTTTAAAATCTTCATTTCCAAGTTAAGTTCTGGTGCGGTTCAAGTTCAGTTCTAGTTCAGTTAAAGGTAACAAACCTTACCAAATGGCATTAAATCCTTTTATTTGACAGGAAGATCTTAATATGAATTGTATTCTTTAGAGCTTCCATACCACTAGAAAGCAAATATCAACTACCCTCGTAAAAATATGTAAAAATAATCTAAATACCTGCATATGAATTTGAAAATAATATTTATACAAAAAAATAATAATAACAATAAACAACAAGTAAAATATACAAGAATATGAGCAAAAATATTGAAATGCAAATAATTGGAACCTTCACATAAACTCAATCATTTACTAACACACACACTAACATAGTAAAAAGTACTTATGCATTTCCATTAAATGCAATAACAATAATATAAAAGCAGCAGCAACAACAAAAAGCCCACTTGTTGATGATGTTGTTTTGACATCGAAAACATACGCCAACAAACAACAACGACAAAAATAAAATGTTTTGACAAAAATATACAACCAACACTTGAAAATACCCCACCAACCAGCATACGCAACCAACTATCTGCATTCATATGAACGCCCATTTTGTTTACATGTATTCACTTATACTCTTCTGCACTTAAAGCAAACAATGCAAGTTAATGTCATGCATGCCAACCACATACACACAGAGTGTAAGTTTCAATATTGAACAACAGCAATAACAATGACAACAATAACATGACTATTTGCATGTTGTGCATGTGTCCGTAAGTATTTTCAATAGGAAGGAAAGAAGCTCTTTCTCTTTTTAAGTAAAATTGGTAGAATAAAAAAAGATTTTTTTTTTTCCATTGTTAAAGCATATTGAGGAAATATAGATGTTTTGTTATTGATATCAGGCATGGAGAATTTAAATTTTTATATACTACTAAGCTTAGCCAAAAGCTTATCTCTTTTAGGATTACAAGTATATTGTCTAGAATTAGAACTGAACAAAAACTAAACTAGAACTGAACTAGAGTTGAACTAGATTTGAACTAGAACTGAACTAGAACTGAACTAGAACTGAACTAGAACTGAACTAGAAACTGAACTAGAACTGAACTAGAACTGAACTAGAACTGAACTAGAACTGAACTAGAACTGAACTAGAACTGAACTAGAACTGAACTAGAACTGAACTAGAACTGAACTAGAACTGAACTAGAACTGAACTAGAACTGAACTAGAACTGAACTAGAACTGAACTAGAACTGAACTAGAACTGAACTAGAACTGAACTAGAACTGAACTAGAACTGAACTAGAACTGAACTAGAACTGAACTAGAACTGAACTAGAACTACTGAACTAGAACTGAACTAGACTGAACTAGAACTGAACTAGAACTGAACTAGAACTGAACTAGAACTGAACTAGAACTGAACTAGAATTGAACTAGAACTGAACTAGAACTGAACTAGAACTGAACATAGAACTGAACTAGAACTGAACAGAACTGAACTAGAACTGAACTAGACTGAACTAGAACTGAACTAGAACTGAACTAGAACTGAACTAGAAACTGAACTAGAACTGAACAGAACTGAACTAGAACTGAACTAGAACTGAACTAGAACTGAACTAGAACTGAACTAGAACTGAACTAGAACTGAACTAGAACTGAACTAGAACTGAACTGAACTAGAACTGACTAGAACTGAACTAGAACTGAACTAGAACTGAACTAGAACTGAACTAGAACTGAACTAGAACTGAACTAGAACTGAACTAGAACTGAACTAGAACTGAACTAGAACTGAACTAGAACTGAACTAGAACTGAACTAGAACTAGAACTGAACTAGAACTGAACTAGAACTGACTAGAAACTGAACTAGAACTGAACTAGAACTGAAACTAGACTGAACTAGAACTGAACTAGAACTGAACTAGAACTAGAACTGAACTAGAAACTGAACTGAACTAGAACTGAACTAGAACTGAACTAGAACTGAACTAGAACTGAACTAGAA